GGCTTTTATGCTTCCGACGACGGGAAGAGATATACTTCCCGAAACGTTAAGCATTTTTGGTCCGTTAGGCTAATTTATTTATGTCTCTGCTCACAAGTTGGTCTCCGTTGGATCAACGCAGCAGTGTTTACAAATAATAAGTATATTATTTTGTAGATTTTCTTACAATGGAAGTGGCGAAATACCCATAGGATATTTTTGAAGAGACTATTCTCTTTTGAGACTCATTTTTTCATAGAAAGAAAATTTCTATATCACTAAAAGTTCAATTTTTTTTAATAACCATTACCATTTCCAGCTTATTCAACCATTTCCAACTATTGTCCCAAGTAGCATCTATCTGACTTCGAACTAAATCTGACCTGAAGCGACGTCAGACTTTGTGCAAATTTAGGTGGGGTGCTGGTGATACGACTGGTAACGTCGCTTTCCTATTAAAAGCGATGTCGTTGGATCCGAGTCGGTAAATCCAATGATCTGTCGACGTACAAAATAACAACGTACCATTTTTATTAATTTCCCAACGTCGTTCCAACGTTGGGTTGCACGACGTACCTATACTTGAACTAGCCCGACGTCTACCCGTTGTCCGAATAGGATACGTCTCACTGATAATCCCTAAAGTAACGTCCAATTATATTTTGTTGTATTTTATGTTCATATATTTAACCTAATTTACGGATCTCTATTTACGTCCGTAAATACAACCCATTAAGTAGCATTTGCGGCCTAATAAACATCATGAACATAACCTAATAAAAAGTTTTTGTAAACAAACTTAATTTTTTTTATTATGCCTAAAAAACACTAAAAAGGCATTTAGACATTCATCTACATTTTACAGAAAGAGGTCGAGGCTTTTGCAAAATAATAATAGTAGTAGTGATGTCTTCCCTCCACCCACGAATGCTTTTTATCCGGAAGAGATGCTGCATTACACTGGTGCATCTTAATATCATTTTTTAGCTTAGGAAACCAGCAGACCCCATCCTCCTCCCACATGTGAGGTACTGGTTCCAATTCTTTTAAATTTTGTTATACTATCTTAAAAAAGTGGCTGCCCATTGTTTCAAAGAGAAAACAAAAACTAAAATATAGTTGCACAAATCCACAAATCAGTGATACGCAAAGTGAGGTTACGTGGCGTACGTTGGAATTATATACGTCATAATACGATTGCCGGTCGTCCGGTTTGATGACTTCGGTCGTGTGAGACGACTAATGTTGGAGACCCGGTCGGAATTGGTATATTGGTAGTTCGTATTAAGTCGGACACAGAAATCCGCCATTCTTAACAGGTATCCGATTGTCAGCCATTTTAGAATCGTTTTTTGTTTTTAAAATTTATATTCACATTCCGATTTCTAGTAGAATAATATTGATAAGGTTGAGTTTGGGGGGAACCACAGTACAGTTTTATGATTAAACCAGCTAGAAAATAAAAAAAAATATTTTGCAAGTTACTTTTTCATAGATATTTTTATTTCATAAATCCACCTACTTTCGAAGGCGCTCGTTGTTTTCCGGAGTATTTTAATCAGATATATAAAAAAAGTGACTTCCGTTGACAAAACTGATGTCTGGATTAATGATTCAGAATTATTATAATATGAAATTAGGTAGGCAATTATAGTTCTATTCGAGGAGTGATTATGAATCCATTTGTAATTAGGTAGTTTGGTTGGGTTTTTATGTATTCTTGGTAGCGAATATGAAACCAAACGTAACGTAAGTGCTTAGCGACGAATTTTAAGTGACTAAAATCCAACGTAATATGACGTTGGTAATTGGTAGAATTACATTCCCTATTAGGTCAGATACCGACGTCGAGGCGACCCGAATCTGTATTCCCCATTTAGGTGCAAATAAGGGTCGTCAGGCGGTCGAACCGACGTTGGTACCCGACGTCGGGTTGATTGAACGCGACGTATACCCGACGTTAGATAACGTCCAAATGCTACTTGGGGTGAAGCCTCCCTTACATATTTATATAATCTTCTTTGTAATTGAGCCCTTAACTATCGTGGATACCATGCTGTAATTTTATTTTTGGTCCATCTGTTGTCCGTCCTCCTCGCCAGGTGTCCTGCCCATCTCTTACCTGAGTCTTCTGTCATATCCACTCTATTTTTTAAGGTCTTTCTTTGTTATTTCCAGCATTTTTCGTCTCTTCGAGCATTGCTTAACCTACAGTTTCCTTACGATGTCAGTTTTAAGGGTCCAGGTTTCGCATGTATAGGTCACGACTGGTAGTGAATGATCGAATGTCTTTTCTTTAGATCAAGTGGCATTCTATATTTGAATATGATTGGGTTTAGAAGTTCCTTTATTTTGAAGAACTTAATTCTTTTTGTGAATAATAAAATTAAAAAAATTCCGGTAAGTATACAATTAATTATGCATTTGGCTTTGTATTTTAGATGAATTTAGAAAACATAATATCAAATCTGTCTGAGGCCATGCTTTACCTAAACTTCAGAAGTGTTTTAACGAATGGGAAATTCAAACTTCAAAGGCCCCGCTTGTTCTCAACTATTCGCGGTCTGGCTGTAAACCCCCCGAGAAAATTTAAATTATTCTACTGCTTGCATCCTTCATCGACGAATGCCCTTTATACTTTTTTAGAAAATGTTTAGAAATAATGTCTATCCGGGCTTAAAATATTCAACAGGAATATAATTTGAAAAAGAGAAAGAAAACCCCGTTTTATACCAAATTGATTTTTTTTTCTTTTAAGAGAGGTTAGAAGATAATTTAAAAGAAAAGATAAGCAATAAGATAAAATATGTAAAAATATGTACCGGGTAGCCAACTAAGAATGGACGCCGGCTGTATCTCAGAAACTACTTATCGTATAACTTTGGAAAAAAAATCTAAATAGTAAATCGACCAATAGTCAAGGGCCAATTTGTCAAAATAAATATTTTTTATTTCATTTTTGGATTCTTTGACATAAAATAAGGCATTTATTATAAGGATTAAATATGTTTACACACTTTGGTTTTTGAGATATTTAAAGATATTTAAATATGCATGCTGTAATGAAAAAGATTCACACCCTGTACAGGGTGAGTCAAAGATAGAGTAAAGTCCATTATCTCATTTGTTTCGAGGTTTACAAAAAAATATTAAATAAAAAAGTTATAGAGATGGTTAAGATACACATTTTAAAATTATTATATAGTATACAGGGTGATTCAAAAAAGTGTGGCGAATATAACATATGTTTTTTTAAAAGTAACACCCTATTTTTTTATTTTTAGATTCTGCGTTAAATTCCATAACTTTTTTATGTATAATGTTATATACTTAAAATTAATAGATTTTGTTATATTTAAATTTGTTTAAACAAATGTTAGATTGCAGTGGGTTAAAAAATTGTCAATGATGGCATTGATTCTGAAGTTGGACAACTAAAATTTGGTAGGGGTATTTTATAGAGATATAGAAAAAGACCTATGTAAAGATATTTTAGTTAGATGTTACAGGGTTTGCAAAATATATTTAGGAATTTATACTACTTAAAATTAAGGCATTTAAATTTTTTTAAATGGTACACCCTTTATATTATCATCTTTTCTGATAGATTTTACCAAACTCTTCAACTTTTATTAAGAATGTCATATACTTATTTTTATTAGTTTGGGATTTATTCCATTTTTTTCTATTTTTACCCATATTTTTAATACAATTGCGCTATAACATCATAGTTGCCATGACAAAAAGTAATAATTATCACAATTTCATGTCTGTTAAGCAAGTTAAGAACAAAATTTGAATTTTAGTTTAATTTGTTGTAATAAGTATAAATGGTAGAGATAATAGTTACAGATTTTCTTGAAATGAATTAGTCAATGTGATTGATATACACGGACAAGCTTAGAAAACCACATTTTTTAGTTCAGTACTATATATTATATAGTACTTTGCTAACTACTATTAGGATAGATGTATGTATATTATCTAGAAAACATCTTCAGTGTGTAATGGGACGGTTTCGCGGCAGTAGTAATATTGGCTTTACCAAATAAATTATAAACCAGAATTACTACGAGAAAAAACTTTACTGTATGTCGAAGAAAATTCATATATCAGTAGTCTTCAGCAATTAGGTAATCTAGTATTACCCTAATCTGTGGCTATTCGCCCCGACGAAAAATCCCAAGTGTCATCTTTCATAATATAGAAATACACCAAGAAATTCACTACTGCGATTTAGTTTATTTGAGTAAAGTTAATTAATTTTAACTAATACCAGCAATTGTAACTAATTATAAAGCTACTTGTTAAAGGTAAGTAATAAATAGTTTTGTTTTGTCATGGCAACTATGATTTTATAGGGTAATTGTATTAAAAATATGGGTAAAAATAGAAAAAATTGGAATAAATCGCAAACTATTAAAAATAGAGATATGACATACTTAATAAAAGTTGAAGAGTGTTGTCAAATCTACCAGAAAAAATGATAATATATAGGGTGTCCCATTTAAAAAATTTGAGATTTTTTAATTTTAAATAGTTGAAATTCATAAATATATTTTGAACACCCTGTATCATTTAACTCAAATATCTTTACATATATCTTTTTTTTCATCTCTATAAAACTCTCCTACCAAATTTTGGTACTCCAACTTCAGAAACAATGGCACCACTGACAATTTTTTACCACACTGCAATTTAACATTTGTTTAAATAAATTGAAATATTACAAAAACTATTAATTTTAGGTATACAAAATTATATATAAAAAAGTTATGGAATTTTACGCAGAATCTAAAAATAAAATAAAAAATAAGGTGTTGCATTTAAAAAAAACATATGTTATAGCCGCCACACTTTTTTGAAGCACCTTGTATACTCTATAATAATTTTAAAATGTGTATCTTAACCATCCCTATAACTTTTATATTAAACATTTTTTTGTAAACCTTGAAAGCAATGAGATAATGGACTTTACTCTATCGTTGACTCACCCTGTACATTTATAAAAACTAACGTACCTTTCTGGGTTGGAATTCATATTTGACGCAATGCTGGAAACCTTTGCCTTTGATTTTCATTGACGTCAAAACGAGACAATTTCCGACAAAATGCGCAGTGTATCCCACGCCTTTGCTCGTTTTGAAACTAAAAAATTAAAAACGTTTCAATTAAAAACTTTTACCTTAAGTTTATAAAAGTATAATTAAATACAGAATAAAAGGACGGCGACGGAAAGCTTCTGTAATTTACGTCAGAAGAAATGATAACTTTCATTAAATTAAGCCAACTAAGTCTCCCTACAACCCCCTGGTTTATTTAAAGTAAATATTAAATTTAACCAAGTCAACTGATCAAGTCACTTGAATTCATTTCGCTGTCTAAACTCGATAAATCATATCAATTGTTGTTCAATGAGTTGATTCATGTTTCGACTACTCGTACGATTCAACTTTTGGCGTTCAAGCAGTGGTTTTAAAATGTCTTCAAATAGGTAATCAGAAAAAAAAATGCTTTGAACATTACATATTTTTGAAAAATTAGTCCAGTAAGAGAAGGTTAAAAGTACGGCCTAATTCGTCGACCGGAACTTTTCAGGCGGATTGTGTAGCTTTTACGGGAAATATTGTAATACCGTGCTCGGTCAGCTTTTGCCGAAAAAATGGCCCCAAATGGCCAAAAAAATCACTTTTTCGCAAATATCTACCAAAATATGCAATTTACAATTTTTTTCCAATAAAAAACGAAGAATTCTACGAATTTTTTTCGTAGAATTAGTGGTTTTCAAGATATTCCGCCTCGAAGATCCCTGAATCTCTCTGAGTCTCTTGACGCTCCGCATTTCATAAGCATATTATTGATATCAATGATAGGATAAATTGTTTAATAACTCGTCTAAAATTTAATATTTTTTGACGATTTAGAATTTTTTGAAAAGGTAGAATCAACATCTATCATTTGTTTGAATTTTTGGTCATATTTTATGATAATAAAAAAAAACGGACAAATAATCTTTGGACCAAAAATTTTCATATTTTTGCAAACTTATTCATACTTTCACTAATAGCTTATTTGTCAAGATTTTTTTTGTGCGGGTACCAGGTATCACAATCGTTGTCATACACAATTTTATAAGTCATGTTCCACAGCCCCTAGACCACCAAGGGCGTAGGACGTCCCTTCGATGCTGATATTCCATAACAAATGGTAAAGGTAGTCCATTATATCCGGGAAAATGGACAAAAACAATATGCACTGAAAGAGTTGCAAGATATTTCAAGTAATTTTGAACTTTTATCATTGATTTCCAACTCCTCATTGATGTTTGTTACTTATAATTTTATTATGCAATTTTCTTCTATTTACACTTTTCGGAAATCCCAAAAAAGCGGAAAAGCCACACACAAAAAGTTGTTTTTTATTTAAAATGTGATTAAACAAATACTTCAAACTTTCTTCAGTTGCTTATAGAGCCTCTAAATACAACTGTTAAAAAATCTTGACAAATAGGCTATTATTAGTGAAAATATGAATAAGTTTTTAAAAATCTCAACATTTTTGGTCGAGGAATATGTACAGGGTGGTCCGAACTGTATTCCGGAAAGTTCGGCAGTATATTCTGCAGATAAAAATAAGTAAAAAAGTTCGTATAAATGTATATTCTGAAATGCTTAGTTTCAGAGATACAGGGTGTAGAAGTTTCATTTTTATTTCGATTTTTTCTAAATAATTTCTGAAATAACGTCAATATTTGGATGAAATTTGGTGTCTGGGAGTTTTTTGATATGAGAAATTTGATTTTGATGTCAATATGACTCCTACTAGTAGAGGGCGCCACCTACGTGTGTTTTAACTGTTTTGACGCGTAATAACTTTTTGTCCGTACTTGTATAAAACTACCGAGCGAAAAAATATACATCTCTGTGATTTTTTACGTAAAAAATATCTCTTTGTAAAAATCGCTACGAGCAACCGTTCTTAAGATACCCAAGTAGCATTTGGACGTTATCTAACGTCGGGTATACGTCGCGTTCAATAAACCCGACGTCGGGTACCAACGTCGGTTCGACCGCCTGACGACCCTTATTTGCACCTAAATGGGGAATACAGATTCGGGTCGCCTCGACGTCGGTATCTGACCTAATAGGGAATGTAATTCTACCAATTACCAACGTCATATTACGTTGGATTTTAGTTACTTAAAACAAACTACTTGACATCAAAATCGAATTTCTCATGTCAAAAAACTCACAAACCCCAATTTTCACCCAAATATTACCGTTACTTCAGAAAATATTTGCAAAAAAATCGAAATAAAAATGAAACTTCTACACCCTATATATCCAAAACTAAGCATTTTAAGGCACATATTTATACGAACCTTTTTACTTATTTTTATCTGCAGAATATGCTGCCGAGTTTCCTGAATACAGTTCGGACCACCCTGTATATAAATATTTCAAATAATTGATTTAAAATCAATTTCTTAATTGATCTCAAATATTTACGAGTGCTTATCAAGTTCAATGATTTTACACAACTTTTGAGGTTATGCCTCTCCTCTAAATTCTTCTCTATTGTAGGTCTTTTTTATTAGTGGAAATTTTGAACAATATGGATATTGCTATGATTTCAGCTTTATCATATAGTTTGTCAATCGGCGCCGGCGGTTAATAAGTCTGGTAGTAATGAAAACATTTTTAACCGCTGGTTTTTGACAACGGGCGATCCATCTACCGGAAAATTTACGGGAGGTCGTTGCAGTCACCCTCAGATGGATTCCTGTGACTTGATCAGTTCACTCGACTCGAGTAAAACGTGCCCCTAATAAAAGCTAACTATTCACCTTCTATAAAATTAACATCGTAACTTTCCTTTAAAAACAATCAAGAATAAATTTAAAAGCTGAATAGCACCTTCGAAAACATTTTCTTTCGTAAACAAATACGAACGAAAACAAATATTTCTCTTCAAAACTCCTTCAACAGTTCGTCGTATATTCTTAAAAATAATAGAAATTTCTTACCAGTACAAATAAGGTTTCTCCCTCTCGATGTTGACTGAATTGATGGGATCGAGGCGAAACCATGTAGTAAAGGTGAACCCGTTCTCGTAAGGCCACTTCGCCATCGGAGGAAGCACTATCGCCTGGAAAAGGAAAATAATGTTTCAGTCGGCCGCAGTTTGAAAAATGCCGCGACGATTTTTAAAGAAACAATAAGCCAAACAAGATTTCTGCCTCTCCGGAGAGAATAAAGCGCTCTAAAAGATCGCGCACACTATACCTACACGGATCGGCACGGACCAGACCAATAAAATCTACCGGTGAAGGTGACCGTGTTATTTAATAGAGTAGAGCACACTAGACCAGTACCAGCACGTACCGCCACAAGCCACGACCGTGTCACAAAACAGGTCGTGTCGGTCAGGGACAAATATGACCGGCAATATTTATGCCTGGTCGTGCTGGTCCGACCTAATGTGCGCACCGGCGAACCAGCACACCTTCACAAACATGCAAATATTGAAGGGTTTGTCAGTATTTCGAGTACGCTAGCTGGCTCAAGTCGCATGATGTAGGTTAGATTTCGTTTATTTTTGTTCGAACCTTTAAATCGTTTTAAATATGAATGAAGAAAAGCTTATTTTACTGGTACAAAAGTATCCAGAGCTGTGCGATACGAGCCAAGCATTTTATATATAGAGACCAAGAAAGAAAAGATGCAATATGGAGTCGATAGCAAAAAAAATAATCAAATTTGATTTGTGACATTCGAAAATATTGGAAAAACTTTTCTTCGAATCTTTTTAATTCAGGAAACAAATGATGAAATTCGCCATATTGCTTTCTCTTTTGATTTATAGGGTGAACCCAAAATCTTCTTTTTTTCTTAGCTTCCTTCTCTTCCTCCTCTTCTTCACACAACATGGCTAAAATAATAATTTCTTCCTTTGAACTACTCATTTTCAATACTTCTATGTTGCACACTCTAGTAGTTGAGCCTTGACAACTGTACTTTTTTCGAAACTCTCGCTTATGTTGCTGGTCTGTGGCGGTAAAGTGTGCGACGTCATGCAGGATGCAGGTTTGTGCTGTGCTGGTCCGTACTGGTCCGTGTAGGTATAGTGTGCGCGATCTTTAAGGCAAACAAATGGTGGCGTATCTGTCACGTCGCGTTGCGTGGTGGTGCCATTGTGATCGTGACTTATGTGTGTGTTTAACGCTGTGACAGATTGTTAACGCACCCGGTTATTAATGAAGTTTAAAATAGTGATTAATCTGGTGTTAAACGGTTTATGTTCGATTATTCACCTATCCAAAATTAAGTAAGGTTATTAGCTATTAATTTACTACCCAGAAACTATTTCTTACTCTCTATATCTAATTTTGATGGTCTTAAGTATTGATTAAAATAACTGAAGTGCATTTAAAACAAAGTGTGTATCGGAGCACAAAACATTATGATAATTTTTTGACAGAAGATTTTCTCCAATTGTTAAAAGCTTCGCATTTCTAAATATAGAGCTCATTAATTTTTTAAAATAATTTTTAAAGTATACCTTAAACAAATTGCTGATATTTAAGATAAAAAAAGTAGTACTGTTAAATACAGGGTGTTCAAAAAAACATGTGCCATCTTTCGTGGGGAGATTCCTCACATAAAAATCAGACAATTATTTTTCATTTCAACGTGGGTCCGATTCTGCTTTGTTTCGTACCTACAGGCGGTTAAAATCTTAATTTTTTTCGATTTATTGTAATTTTCTATCAAGTACTTTTAGAGATTCGACTGAAATTTGGGGTAAAAGTTAGTATGAGTACTACATATTTTAATGCTAAGAAAGTGTCTACGGATTCAGGGACGTGCATATGGGTTATCCCTGGAATGTTTTTCTAAAAAAACGTGTGCTACTGACTTTTTTTCTTATTAGCAAAAGTGTGTAGGCAACTTAATGCCGATTAAAATTTATATCTTGATATTTTGTCAATTTCGGCCTCTTCGATGAGATAAATGCCATTTTATTAATGACAATTAATAAAATTAATAATTATTTATTAAATGCAATATATTACTGAATTTTATTAAAACTTATAGCACTAATCCAATTCCAATTTAATTTGGCCCACAGTATGCCAACATTGGACATCCGACTTTAGACGTACTTGTGTCAACTTTGACAAACGACAAAGTACCGCTTCGTACAAATATTTTTTGCTTAATAACTTTTTCTTCTCTTGATCTTGAGAAGTAATTTCTTGTCTTGTCTTGAAAACCAAAAAATCATTTCTTGTCTTGATCTTGTCTTGAAATCAAGACAAGATCAAGAAGTTGTCAAGAAAATGACGACCCCTATATGAAATAATATGCATGTACTGATTGCTTTCGAAAATCGACAACTATGAAACTATGAACTCTTCCTGGACACAAACGGTACATTGTGAGACAGAAAATTGTAGAGAGAAAAAAGCCCTATAACATAGGATAAAACATCTTAATGAACAGTGCTTTCGATAAAATCAATAAAATGAAAAATATACGAAATAATATGCATGTACTGATTTCTTTCGAAAATCGACAACTATGAAACTATGAACTCTTCCTGGACACAAACGGTACATTGTGAGACAGAAAATTGTAGAGAGAAAAAAGCCCTATAACATAGGATAAAACATCTTAATGAACAGTGCTTTCGATAAAATCAATAAAATGAAAAATATACGAAATAATATGCATGTACTGATTTCTTTCGAAAATCGACAACTATGAAACTATGAACTCTTCCTGGACACAAACGGTACATTTTGAGACAGGAACTTGTAGAGAGAAAAAAGCCCTATAACATAGGATAAAACATCTTAATGAACAGTGCTTTCGATAAAATCAATAAAATGAAAAATATACGAAATAATATGCATGTACTGATTTCTTTCGAAAATCGACAACTATGAAACTATGAACTCTTCCTGGACACAAACGGTACATTGTGAGACAGAAAATTGCAGAGAGAAACAAGCTCTATAACATAGGATACAACAATATAATGAACAGTTCTTTCCATAAAATCAATAAAATGAAAAATATAGGAAATAATATGCATGTACTGATTTCTTTCGAAAATCGACAACTATGAAACTATGAACTCTTCCTGGACACAAACGGTACATTGTGAGACAGAAAATTGTAGAAAGAAACAAGCCCGATAACATAGGATACAACATTTTAATGAACAGTGCTTTCCATAAAATCAATAAAATGAAAAATATACGAAATAATATGCATGTACTGATTTCTTTCGAAAATCGACAACTATGAAACTATGAACTCTTCCTGGACACAAACGGTACATTGTGAGACAGAAAATTGCAAAGAGAAACAAGCCCTATAACATATGATACAACATTTTAATGAACAGTGCTTTCCATAAAATTAATAAAATGAAAAATATACGAAATAATATGCATGTACTGATTTCTTTCGAAAATCGACAACTATGAAACTATGAACTCTTCCTGGACACAAACGGTACATTGTGAGACAGAAAATTGTAGAGAGAAACAAATTTAAAAAGAAAATGAACAGTGCTTTCCATAAAATCAATGAAATGAAAAATATACGAAATTCGGATATGTCGTGAGTAAGAGTTAATTTAGACACTTCCTAAGTCGGTAGGCCACTGACCATGATATGGCCGAGGATCGCGGTTCGCATTCCGCGTAAACAAAGTAGGTCCCGTTCAGATTAGCCCTGGCAGGAAAAAGGAGACGTTAACTGAAATCTTTACTTTTACTGTTACAACTCGGGGAGATACTCTATATCGAGCAATTATGGGTACACTCGTTCAATTTGACACCTAATATCAGTTTAATAATATATTGTGTACTTTTGTGCTTAGGGCGTAAAAGTGCTTTAATTTTATGTCTAGGGATTAAATCGCAAAATATTGTCAATCACGTCGCAAAAATCAATACTTTTCGCATTGAAAAAATGCCTGATTTTGTGCAGGAATTTTTTTTAGCGGTAACTGTATCAATCCCTTTTTTTACATCGCATATGATTCAATAGTCACGGCTTCATCACAGAACAATTTCGCAAAAAAACTCGGAAACGTAGCGACCGAGTCAAAAGAACTTTCCGAAACCAGCGCAACACACAAAACGTTAGCCATCTAGATGTTTTTATTTGATCCCATCTACCCTTTTTCCCTGTTATGCAATATAAATTGGGTTTTGTAAAATCGCCATTGAAGCGGGCGAGGAGACGAACCTCGGCACACTGTTTAGAGGATTTTCGCCCATAAAAGAGGACCTAATTCGGCAAATGGACTACGAACGTCTTATTTTACCATTCTCAGCGATTTAGTATGCCGCTCGATGGTATATAATCCTGTCTCATCGAAAAAATACTGTACTAGCGTGATATAAAATACTATCAGAATATAAACGAAAATAAAAAAAGTGTTTGCCCTGACCAGGTCTCGAACTCTGACTCCTCGCTTGATAGGCGGAACCTCTACGCGATGGAGACTTGTTCAATTTATATTCAATTCTAGAATTTAACGGGCTGAATGAAAACAATATATATATATATATATATATATATATATATATATATATATATATATATATAGGATCTTCTTTCAATGCGCAGTAGAGAACGCAACGTTTACCGGCAGCCAGACGGGCCGCATGCTGTTCCAGAGAGGTATTACAAAAAAGGTAAGGTTTAAGTGCAATAAACCTTAATCAAATTTACCTTTATTTCAGTCGTAGAATCTAAAAATAGAATATGTTCCATTTAAAAAAATACAACTATAATATTTTTTACTTATTTGGGACGCTCTGTATCATGCAAAATTATTTTTAAATTGTAGCTCTAATAGTCTTTCAACGAACCCAAAACTTACAATTTGTAAAAATCTAATCGTTTAGCTACAATACTCCTTATCGTATGTGGTGAACAACCCTGTATATTACTCCTGAAACGTTCAGCATTTTTTCGTGATTTATTTCTAGTGACAAGAAACCCATAAGTCTTTTCATGAAATGTAGTATAAACATTATTTATTTGACTTGAATGTATTAGAATTTTTGAATTAGAGAGAAACTAGATACATTTTATGTAGTTTATCTCTATATCTAAAGTCAACAAGTTATCGACAATTTTTTTGACGTTCAGTACCCCATAAACAACAACTCACCGATCCTTTTCTTCCGGGAAAACTGAAAAAAACATCGGGGCCGGACCGTTGAGGCATCTGTCTTAAAACGTTGAGTAATTTGGCAGAATGACGCGGCTGAAACAAAAAGAAAAACACATTAGTAGGCGATTGATTAATAAGAATTATATTTGATCAAATTATAAAAACAATATTTTGGCGGAATCGAAATCAATAAAGTAAATGAAATTTTCACTCTTCTTCCTCCATTTTCGATGGGTAATTAAGAGCCTTTTCAAAAAGTGTGGACCCCCCGTATTGGGAAATTATTTTCCCAGCGAAAATTTATTAGAAGAAACCTCTACACGAAACTTGTTTTATGTAATTTGATTTTCTTGTTTAAGTATACTGTTTTTACACCACTTTTAGTGCATTCATTTTTAAGGATATTTACGTTATAAATCCTTTAAATCAACTTTTAGAATAAGAGTGAAATTATAATTTTTCAGAATTTGAAAGAAGTACCTACTGTAAAAGTTAATTGCGGACGAAAGACGTACAACTTTTTATAATAATAATAATAATAACACTTTATTTAATAGTATGTTTCAAATATACAGACATAATATAAATTAATAAAAAAAATATAAGGAAAATATGAATCGGGTGGATAGAGCCGACCAAAATATAAGTTTATATAGAACATCAATAAGGGAAAAACATATATGGCGTTACATAATGCTTGGCAAATTTATCGGATAGCCAATGACAAAAAAGATTATTTGCAATTTTGGTTACAAAAAGATGTCCAAGCAAAAAATCTGCCAATCTTCATGAGCATTCTAGGTATGACAGATTAGACCACTTTGTAGCCTATCTATCCATATCCATATCTAATACTACTACTCCTATATCTTTTACCTGACACGAAATGCGTTACCCTTCGGAGTAGTAGTGTTGCCGGTATCGCACTGAGCATTTGTAAATAACCCTACCCATTTTATTAATTGAATGAATTGCCGTACTCTGTCTGGAATTCACAAGTAAAAGAGCACTATTCCAAAGAATCGAACTATTCTGTTCTAAATTTTATTAAAAGGGTAATAATAAGAAAAAAACGTTTAAAACCACTACGTGTTTATATTTAAAAAAATCTAACTTAATTTCTTCAGAGAAAATTATATTTCTCACCCACTCTATTTCTTTCTCTATTTAGAGCTATCTACATACGTTTTATTAGTCTGATTTCCAAAGCTTTTTTAAATCAAATTAGTTTCCAAATTACGCTTAAAATATTATTACGAAAACTAATCTTAATACAGCTGATTACGATAAAGGCGTTTTTAGGATGAAATTAAGCAAATAGAAATAACAAAGATGTCTAGACGTAATAATAATACTATTCAGAAATCTCTAAGTATCTTTAGAATAAAACTATTTATAGATGCTGAAAGAAAAAACGAGTCGTAACAAAGTTCTCATCTCGTTTACTTTACTTCGTGATATTTCTCTTTATTATAGTTTTGTTTTAGCCATTTCGCCATTGATTATATTTCAAAAACATTCTCCGTCCAGATGATAAACGCACGAAAAAAAAAAGAACGTAGAAATACGTAGGTATATAATGCACAGAAGAAGGAACAGATTAAAAATACAATCTTCTAAACTCCATATATTAAATTTTACTTCCTATTAAGCCATATTTTTTTTTGTTTGTTTATTGTTTTCCCAGTGTAATGCTGTTCTGCCAACAAATGCACATATGTTTCAATAGCATATCTATACTAATATATAAAATCCTTAAGTAACTGACATACTGATTAATCACGATCCTGCTCAAACCACTCAACGTAAGAAGCTCAATTTTGGCATACAGGTTGATTCTAGGGTGTAGAGGTTCGATAAGAAGGGATTTTTCGAAATTCCAGTTCCAAGGGGGTGAAACCACCCCTCAAATATTACAATATTTTTTATTTAAAAAACGGTCAAGTTTCCGAAGAAACGCTTAAACACGTATATTTTATTTTTTCTTTTTTACATATTTTAAGATTTTTTAAAAATGTATACAGGGTGTTTCGAAAAATCTGGTTATTGATTAATCACGATCCTGCTTAAAGCGCTTGACGTAAAAAGCTGATTTTTGGAAAACGGATTGACTTTAGGGTGTAGAGGTTCGATAAAAAGAGATTTTTCGAAACTCGAATTCTAAGGGGGAGAAACCACCCCTCAAATATTAGAATATTTATTATTTAAAAACCGCTGAGTTTTTCGGAAAAACTCTTAAACACGTATATTTTATTTTGTTGTTTTACATATTTTAAGATTTTTTTAAAATTTATACAGAGTGTTTCATAAAATATGACCATTGAGTAATCACGATTCTGCTTAAACTGCTTGACGTTTAAAGCTGATTTTTGGCAAATGGACTGACTGTGGGGTGTAGAGGTTCGAAGGAGGGGTTTCTCGAATCTCAAATTCCAAGAGGGTGAAAACGCTCCTCAAATATTACAATATTTGTTATTTAAAAAACGGTTAGTCTTTCTGGAAAACGCCTGGACACGCATAATTTATTTTGTTTTTTACATATTTTGAAATTTTTTAAAAAATCATACAGGGTGTTCCAAAAAGTTGGGTAATTGATTAACCACGATTCTGCTTAAACTGCTTGACATAAAAAGCTTATTTTTGGCAAACGCATTTTTCGAAAGTCAAATTCCAACGAGATGAAACTACCCCTCAAATATTACCAAGTTATATAATAATATCGCCATATTGTTTTTTCTCATGCTGACATAAATGTGAGAAAATCTTATCCAGTTTGTATGTTAATGGAAATTCTTGCTTTGCTTTATCATCACCATTACAAATGATTAATTCGACGCGAACGAAGTCGCGTGTAGATGTACACGCTAGTTAATTATAAATATATAGACAGTTATTATTTATATCAACATAATTCATCTTCTTAACAGCACTTAAGGGACCTAAACGGCCATTACTACTGCTTTCCAGTTGAAAATACTCTAAAAAAATTGCGGTGAGTTTTTTTAAAGCTATCTTATGTAGCTTATGTACATTTCGCACTAAAAGAGGTTACCACCACACCAATTTAATCCAAAAACTCGTAATACAAAACTAAAGTGTCAAAACGAATGACAATGTCAGGAAATAAATAAATAAACGTGGCAACTTGACATTTTTTACAGAACAGCTACCACCTGAATTTCCCTGAATTTAAATTCGAGTAAGCCAGCCCGGTGCCGAATATGTTCATAGTTGGCAACAATAATTTTAAAATTTGCGCCCTCGATTACGTCATTAAAAGTTTAATTGGTATCGAATATAGATATTTTTAAAGTAAAACTAAAATAAATAAAATTAAAAAATATATATCACAGAAGATATGTCTATCATAATTTGTAGAGTTATGAAAATAAAAATAACACAACTTGTTCTGTCTCTGTTCTTTTTCGTGTTTTAAATTCTCATAATATATTTTATGTTTTATTGAATGTGGACCGCCTACTGCCATTTCAAACTGACGATAACTTTCACACAGTTATCTTTGTGACTCTCTATGGTTATTTATTTCACACTCTCCAACTGTGTCCCTGATATAGAAAGTTTTTTTTATCCCTTTAACCCTCTTTATGTTTTTGGGTGACTTTTAGTTTGTCTACCTATACCGTCGCACTCGTTAATGTACATACAGGGTGAAATATGAAGTGTGAAAAAATTAGAAGGAATTTTTTTTATCAAATTTTCATTCATTATGAATTAAGCCTCATGGAGAACCTCAAAGGTAATGGAATAAATTTGTTGTTTCAATTATACTTTATATATATATATATATATATATATATATATATATATATATATATATATATATATATATATATATATATATATATATATATATATATATATATATATATATATATATATATATATATATATATATATATACAAAATCGTATTACTCCCAAATTTTGAAGGAAAATTAGTGTAAAAAGAAAAATTATTATCACTAATTTTGATATTTGGAACAAACTTCTACGCTAATTGAAACCATTAATTCATTCCATTTGGAAGTTATGAAGTTTAACTCAACAAATATAGTTTCCATGGGGTTGTAGGACATACTAACCCCAAGTCAGGGGTAAGCTAATTTAAACATAAGGAAAACGCTGCTAGAAAAGCCCAAACAAAAGAACGAGACAATGGGAAACGGTATAATTGAATAGCAGTTGGCGCCGCTGCTACATCGATTCTCCAAGACCCTTACCCTTTCTTTCCTTCTTGCTTCGATTATCGGAGGGTTTAAATGCACTTAGGGCTGTTTATGACGCAGTCGTGGACAAACACAGGCCAACCGTAAAAAAATATGGGACTGAAAAAATAAGGGTTTGTCGGATACAAGTGTAGTTTAGGCGAGAAGCGAGATATAGGGCAGAGATAAAAGGGTGTAAAATTTCTTTTAATCAGAGATGTTCTCAGATTTTGGGATGTCTCTTTTTGAAAATCGCAGAACACAAAAAATATTTGTCAAAAGATATTTGGTGGAACCAAACCAAACCAAAATGTGTCTATCAGTTTGATATTCATAGAGATTCCATTTAAATTTCATATTTTACTACACGTAGTCGTTTTTATGACACCATTAAATAAATTACATGTAAATATTTTAGTTTTCAAAGCAAAATTTAATGGCAACTCGAATTAAGCTTGCCTCGTATTAAATTTTACTTCAAGTTAATATATTTTTTTTAATTATTGAAGTTAGTGTTCCTTCACTTTCATGACATAATTATTTTTCGCTAACCAAATAAATAAAAGAAAGTTACCGTTTATAACTCATGAACGAATGAACCGATTTTAATAAGCCCTGCTTTGTTGAAATTGGCTCCCCCTTGAATAATAGGATAATTATCCGAAAAATATCAAAAATAAAAAAGTTTACAGAAAATTAATTTTCAAATAAATTTGGTTTGAAACTCTTTCAACTTCTGCAATCGACAGATCACGTCATGCACTCTTATAGCTTATTGGTAATAATTGATGTCGATTGCAAATCAGTGACATATTAGATATTGTAGAATACACATTCAACAGAAAATTCTTAGAAAATAACATTCTCA